CAACCCTGCATTCTTGGAACGCAATGCCCTAGTAGGACAGTAGGGTATAATGGACTTACTTTAAAGGTGACCTGTCATGCAAAATGCACTTTTGTACGTCTTTTATACATGAACATGTGTCCCCGGTGTTCCAGGGAACTCACCAAGTGTCAGAAAACACAACCCTCTCTATTTTCCTCCATACCCAAATCTCTTAAAAAGGGGCTGCAACGGATCTGATACAGACTGATCCAGATTTGAACACTTCTATGACGTCACAGAAGTGGCACGACGGCTATTGGGCCAACTCCACCAATCAGGAGGAGACAGCCACGGACATTGCCGTTCGAAAGCGCTGGAGACGCTGTAGTACATATGCCAGGCCTGTAGATGGTGCTGTTCTCACAGAATCAGCCCATGCAAAGACAGTGTTAAATTGAGCGAAATGAGGAATGGCTAAAATGCATGATCTGTTTGGTATTTTGAAAAATAAAAAGTATAAATATGCCTTATATAGGTATGGTCCTACACTATATTATTCAAATATAGCATGATAGGTCCACTTTAAATAATATGAAAGGGCTGCACCAACACTAGGATCCAATCTGAACAAGGAGCACTTTTAGTATCTGATACTGTATTCTCATACTCTGGTATTGCCAACTTTTTTTAAGTAAATTATCAGAATACTTTTCCCACCACAATCAATTACATGTGAGGTCAATTTCACTCTCTACATTGCCAGGAATATCCTTATAGTACGGCACTAGTTAGTCCTTTTCTTTCTTTGGCTAAGCAGCACTGGAATGCAAATATAAGCCAAAAAGCTTTATTTAAAATCCCAAAAGTAACACAGAGGACACGACCTCAGTTTCCCTAATGGCACTGGGCTCAGGCCTTGCAGCAACCATATCAAAGAATCTACTCATATGAACAAAGATGTCTGTTTTCCAAAATTATCTAACTGCATCAGCTGGTCAGAGCCAGGTGGCGAGCTGCACAAAGACCTGCAGTATTCCCTCTGAGCACTACACGTGTAATATCAGCACAGATGATAGCTGCTCTCTGCAATTCAAAGCCGTCCCTGCTCTGCAATACATGGCCTCTATCAACACTATGATATTCATTAGCTGCACGGTGCAATCTTCTTAGCAGTCGGTGGTAAACCTCACATAACACTGCTATTGATTTCTGCTGTGACGATTGAATGCCTTCGCTAAGAGCTCTCTATTAACATGTCCTGCTGCTGTTAAATAACTCTTACCCAGCTGAGAGTATGCACTTACCTTGTGTAGTCCCCCTTCGCCTCCTAGAGAGAAATAAATACATCTTATCAGATAAAGGGATAAAAGATGTGGCAAATAATGTATGTATGAGACTATTAAAAGCACTAACCTGCAAAGCATTTGCGGCTAATTTGAAGACGTTCTCACTCTCCACCTCTATAATCCCCTGAGAGACAAAATAGATCGATATGGAAACATATTAACAGGATGGAGACAATGAAGTCCATGTGGAGAAATCTTTCTCAATCCAAACATAGAACATTTTCTCTGTTGCACAACATGAAACTCAGCTTATTCTCAAATTGAAACATTGTGTCTTTTTTTTCTTTCTGTCTAGTTTACATTCCAGCCAGCAGAGTGAACAAACCGTGCCCTGCAGCTATTGTCTGATCAGTTGCGAGGGTCCACAGACAGTGAATCATCGGAGAGCTAAAACGCAACTAGCGGCGTCTATTTCATGGCTTCAGTAACAAGTAACTTACGTTGTAGACGGCAGATTTTGCATTCAGGAAGAATAACTCCACCGTGGTGATGTCCTTAAGCTGTGTGATGCTTTCTAGATAGAACCTGTGGAGGATAAAAGCAGATGCAAACAGAACAATTGAAAAGGTTAAACGGAGATAATGGGTGTTATTGCTGCTTAATATAGAAAACCACAATTTGAACTTTACCGTGCCTAGTGAATGTTTTTGTGTGATGTAGCTACTTTGCACACTTTTGTAATGTATATATTTTGTCTATTTTTTATGTTTTAATAGGAGGCGTGGATAGAGCGTTGGTGTTCGGATCAAGAGAGCACAGGTTCAAACCCCACTGCAGTCAGCATGTCGTTGTGTCCCTGGGCAAGACACTTCACCCCAAATTGCTCCTGTGGGGATTGCCCACAGTATTGAGTATGGAAGTCGCTTTGGATAAAAGCGTCTAACATGTAACATGTAATGTAAATGTAATGTAGTAGGAGATTGGTTTATTATAGAGTAATCTAGTTTATTCTGTATTTTTCATATTGTGTATTCATGTTTAGATACTCCATTGATGCATAACTTTTCTGCTGTTGATATGTACTGTATATATTACTGTGAACTTTCTGCTGAAGTGATAAAACAATTTGAATAAAGAATGTTTAATCTAATCTGATGTGTGTGAGGTGTGGGTGAGAGTGAGAATTTATAATCACGTGCAAAAGATTGACAACTACCAATGTCAATGTTTTTAAAACCACAAGTTTGACATCATGACCGTCACTACCCTGGACATTGTGTTGAGAGCTCACAGCTTTACTCCACGTCTACAACATAGTGCTCCCTGCTGGAGATCATGTGATTTGCATGAGAAAAGTCAATTATTACCTGACCAGGAAGTTGAGGGCAATGGGCCCAGACTTCTTGGAAAAGTCATGTTCAAGAACTCTGCGGTCCATCTGCAACCATTTACGCTGCCCACTACAAAAGTCAAACAGACGGAAGAATCGGAAAGCATTAAACACACACGCACATACTGTATGGACATCAGTAAATATTCAGACCATTGAAAATAAATATAGGCAATAATTCACATACTTGTCATCACAAAATGCGATTCCAAAGAACTCCTTCTCTTTGAGGTTGAAGTGTGAGGACACCAGGTCGAGGAGTTCGTACGACAGCAGCCTTTGCTGTGGAGGAAGATTTAGATTTAGTAGGACACCTAATGTAATTCAAAATATTAGGTAAGCATCTTCAGTTAAAAATACATTGATAAATGTGTCACAGATACTTAAGAAAACTAGTTTCACTGTTGCTTGCTTCCGTCTAAAGTGAAGTGAGACTGGAAGATTAACTGCAAACAACAGAAAATAAATTGAGGATGTAATGTTGTGTTCAAGGACACTTCAACAGCGCACATACTCACGATCTGCTGAAAAAAAATCATTTTATACACCAACTGATTCATTTTTTGTGAGGTTTGGCAACACTACAGAAACAAATAACGTTTTTTATTTTCGATTAAAAAAAATAACGATGATATAATCGTTGAAGTTGCAGAACGCAGCAAAACAGTTGCTAATTTTCATAATCATTTTGGTGATCTCGGGATACCTGATGAATTAAGTTTAATATTCTGTCCTCTTATCTGTGGTTTGGCTTCCACCGACTCTTGAGGGAAGTATCTGGCGTTTTAGTTAGAAAACACTCACTATGTTAACATACTGTCTGGGGCTGAGCAGGTAGTGTAGCGTTGTTTTTATAGCTTGTTGCTCATAAAAAACCAACAAAAACCAAAGCTATGAGAACAGAGAGAGTGAACCAAAACAGCTGGGTTGCAAACAGAAGTTTTTGTTTTTTGTTATGAGTTAAAACATGCTTATTAGAGTTTAGGGGAACTGGGTTCATAAAAACCAGAAACCATTTTCACATTACACATAATCATAATTTGATCAGTTGTTAAACCTTTGACTATAACCTCTTTAAGGAGCGTCATACCTGAACCAGCAGCTCCAGCTTCCTGTCCTCCAGCAGCTGCACTTGGCACAGTCTGCCCTCGGTCATCTGCAGGGGAGAGGAAGAGGAAGCTCAAATCTTGTGACACAGATTGCAGACGATTCCTCATCACAAGGCAAAATGACGTACGGTCCCGAGTGTTGGTTATGTTTATTTTTTAAAAAGCTGTCCGATACATATCAGGCCTTATCCGGTTTCTTAAATATCTGTCCAAGAGTTAATTTTCACTATCAGTAGCCAAACTGAGCCAAGTCCTTGGTGGTAAATACAGAAAAGAAAGAAAACCACTTATGTTGTTGGTGACAATAAAACCTTTGTCTTAAGGATTTGGTGCCGTAGCAACCAGAGAAAGGATTTATACAGTTTTGAACCTTTCACATTTAACTGAGTCTTTCCGTCTGTCAAGCTTTTCAGTAATTCAAAGAAATATCCAGTATATGAAAGTACATTTCTTGCACTGTACTAAACACAGCACTTTACACTTTCACTGCACTACATTTCAGTGAGAAACATTGTACATTTTGATCAACTTTATTTGATAGCTTTACTTTGAATATGAATTCCTACACATTAAACTACCCAAAAATATATAATGTTCTCCTCCAACAGCTCAGAAATTAAAATACTGTTCAGACATAAATGCAATCATCACAGTCATATAATTATATAATATATAGTCATATAACATTCACATGGATCAATTTTCTAAGGACATTTACTTTTGATAGTACATTTGTTAGAAATACACATGGACCTTCACATAAATACGATTTTAAAAAACAGGACTCTTGTAACGGAGTACTTCTGTGACCATGGCTAATATCTTCATAATTGCAAAGTTTACACTCTTTTCTTTTAACATTTATTTATTAACAAGATCTAAACAGCATTACTGCGTAAGGGCCCAAACCACACAACCTCATATCAGATTCTGACTAAACTCTACATCGATGAAACCCAGTTCTCTGTAACTCGTACCCACAAGATGAAGAAGCAAGAAGCTTTCCTGTTTGCTTGTGCAAGATATTTCTGACCACAGTGCCCTTCACACAACGATTTGCATCACAGATTCAGCCTGACTTCTAAGACACTCAGTCACTATAAATCAAATAGCCAGGGGAAATAAATGACAGATTGAGGCTGAAGCAGTTTTTCAAAACAAAGAACCTGCTCACAAACTAAAAAGAAACAATTCAAACAGATTTAAAAAGCCTTTTCATGTGACAGAATGAGGCTCATCACAACTTCTTGGAGAGCACGGGGCGGCTGCTGTACCTGGTAAACCTCTCCAGGGAGAGAGAGACTGCAGGCGTGGACGCATCCCTGACCAAAACTCATCCTTTTACAAGAGTCACCTCTCCGGTCCAGACTATTAGTGGATCAAACAGCAACTTGTTCAATGTAGTTCATTAACTGAGCAGCCAGGCCCTAGCTTTGAGCTGCAGTGGATTATTGAGTGTTATGAGAAATCAACAGCTGACTGAATAAGGGCAGGCAGGATCAGACTGCTGACCACACTGTAGGATTTACTCCTTCTTAATATGAACAATGGAGGTCAGACAGGCAACATAAGCGGTCAATATAAGGTGGTTAAGTATGCTACTGAGTTTACTGAGACATTTAAGATGCTTCGATCACTTGTGTGCTGATCTGTGGCTAAATTGAGTTTGAATCTCGGTATCAGGTGTCTCTGACTTCCTCCTCCTGAGGCACTAAAGTGATTGAAACAACTCAAAGAGGCTTTACTCTACATACACTCTACTTCCCATTTATCTATTTCTCACCTCGCACTAATAATCGATTAAACAAATTGCCCTGCTGCCTGACTTGAATGTGACACACCCCGTCACTTCTTTAAATTAAACCATCTGTAATCTTTTAGCGAGCACTTTGTCAATTACAACCTCTGAATGATGCGTCTTTCTTTTGACAACAGTCGTAAATTCTCTGTCATGATTTAAATTAAAGGTGAACATTCAATGACTTCAATTAATTTGGAGTGTTGCTGCTGCTCACAATCACCAGGAGTATTATTACATTGATTTGAGCTTGATTTAGTCATGACTGCATCATGGGTGAGGTCACACTATACGTCTCTGTAATAAACATGACATGGCTCTGGCCTGGCATGTACAGTAAATATATTGGCCACTAGATGGTGCCGGGATTATTGTTTTTTTCTATATGGAGAAGTTGTTCATATGGAGAAAATGGCCTCTTAACGGTGGGGTAGGTAATTCACTTGTTATATTCCATGGAATGCTCTTAACATCCCGATAGCAATGAATACATTAAATGCTTTGACAATAAATTAAAAAAATGTAATCTGAGGAAGCCGTAGCGCTGTAAAAAGCACGATCAATTATTTTAGCCGGCCCGGCTAAAATAACTGGATGGCCTACCTGCCTGTCAGCCTTCCATCTGTGCACAAACTTATCTCGTGCCCTCATTGGTCATGTGCGCGTTCGTGTGTGTTGGAGGAGGGGCTCTGTAAGGAAGTCTGAACGAAGGGGCAGATATTTTTCGGCTGCGTATAGTTTAAAATTCTAGCGCACTCGAGCTGGTTTATCCATTCTTACCTACCTTACCTTTAAGTTAGCTTGCCCCATTGAGGAATTCCCAAAAGCAGTTATTAGCTCAGATTCAGCTGGGATGAGTTGTACAGTACATGCAATATAGATGAAGTGAGTGGAAGGAAGGGCCGAGCTTTTTTTAGAAATCTACCCTATTAATCATCTGAGGGCTATAATCATTACAAGAACTGCTATTTATATCTGACACAGCAACCCAGCAACCCTCCCTAACCCTGCTGCTCCTCTGTCACAACCACAACACAGCCACCAGTAGGCTACAGGCTGTGATTTAAAACTGGCAGCATAATAAAAGACACAATAATTACAAATGCACACAACTAGAAAACACAAGATGAAACCTATGATTATGTTTAAATCGATTCAAGGTAGTGAAGCGGGCTGGAAACACCTCTAGAAATAGCTTGCCGAAACAAGACTGTGACTTTATATTTATAGCAACATCACATAGCAAACATTTCTCTCAGGGGGCTTTACAATGTGTACAGCATACACCACCCTCTGTCCTTAGACCATGGCAGCATACAAGGAAGAACTCCCAAGAAACCCGAACAAAATTAATGGGGAACATGGAAGAAGCTGCAGGGAGAGCAACTGAGGAGGGATACCTCTCCCAGAACGTACAGCAATAGGTGTCGTGTGTGTATAGATTAAAAAGACAATACAACTACAACACAGACAATCCAAATGTAAAAAATGATAATGTAGAGAAGGAAAAAAAGACAGGTGGATGTCAATGATCTTTTAGTTGCTGCTAAATAAAACAAGATGGGCGTCAAGCAGAACCACAGCCAATCATCACACTGGACCCAGCAAATATTTGGTATGTTTTCTTGTAAGGTGTCAAAATAGTTGCTTTCTATTGATGGATTGATCTACTATTCGTTGCAGCTCTTCTAATTATTGCTTAAAATCTACATGTGTCATCTCCTGATGAACTTGAATTGGTCACAGCACAGCAGACAGTGCAGGTTACTCAACCAAACAAAACCTATTCAACCTGAATCAAAAGGGCAGCCTTGGACCCTGTGGGGTTAAGACGAGCATTGAACCTTCATGAAAAAGAGACATGGAGGGTGGAGATAAAAGCGCTGTCAGTCTCTGTGATTGTTTCTCCAGAGACGCTGCAGGGTGCTGGTCCGTCTCTGGTCTGCAGCCTGAGGTTGGCGTATAGACAGCTTGTTATGCTGCACAGTCAAATATCCCAATGGAGATTTGGGGAAAGTGCAGATGTGGCCCCCTTAAAAAAAGAAACAAGGAGTATTCATGTTCATTCATGTCCATTAAATTATAGCCTGGTACTATGTGGAGATGTAAATCCTACAAAAAGCACAATGTTAATTTCCATTTCATGAGAAATAGCATCCAATCAAGCGTGGAGTTGTACATAAGCTAACAGGAGGATTTCTCTGTCTGCTGAGTAAACTGTCTGTCAGTGTTTAATACGTCACGCTGGTTAAATGTCATGTCCAGACTGCAGTCCGTCTTATCTCAGTTTCCCGTCTTCATGCATTATTGATGAAGCTGGTATCACACACACAAGTCAGTGTCTGCTCTCCATGCTTACATGTTCTTTGCACGACATTCTCAACAATCACAAAAAGATACAAAGTATTCCAGTTTGTAAATTCCCAAGCAATTCTTCTTAACAATTTTGACAAGATAAAATGATAAACTCAACCATTAATAGATTGCGGCTGAATCAGACCATTGTCCACAGAGAAGAAGCCCATATAGAGACAAATAAAAACCTTAACTCCATAACAGGATATGATACTCAATACAATGTTGATCAAGGGAAACATAATAAGTTCTGTGTTTTGGTTACATGAGATTTTACAGTTCTTCTTCGATGTTGTAATGATATCTGTCCTCTGCCCCTGACAGGGTGATTAATGACGACAATAATGATTCAAATAGTTTTGTTTTTTTATCTTGATTCAACTGAAATCCTCATTTTGTTTTTGGTCTCACATTGAAGCAAGAACATGTTAGCTCTCTTAAAAGAAGCCCAAGGACAGGATGCTTGATTAGTAGGCGTATTGGCAGTCCAGAAATAATAAATAAAACACCAAAGACAGGAGTGCTCAGAACGGCGAGTACACAGCGAGAAGCCCTGGTTACAGAGGCTGTGGGCTGAAGGAAACAGCACAGGTTTATCCGAGACCGTATCTGATATCTCATCATGACTCATGTTGTCAGCGGTCAAAAGGTATCAGTCTAGAATCATCTCCTTAAAAAGAGAACCAGACTGTCCGTTTGTGATATCCGGTAAATACGTGCTAGCAATGAGGCTCAGGATATTATGGAGAAATTAAAACCTGAAATAAATATTAATTTCGTTTTTATAACAAGGTATCTCGGTGAATCAAGGGCAGGCATCACAGAGGAGTGATTCATGCGAATGATGTCATCTTGCAGTTCTTATTCACACCCCAGAAAAAGGACGTCCACAAAAACCAGAGGACATTGTGATATATTTTGTTATGGCTGTCCTACAACTGCAAGACCATAATATTTTATCTGCAGCCATTGTGACAGTAGTGGTCAAATCTGCTTCTTTCAGTCTCTGGAGGGTTGAATGCTAGTGGTATAAAAAGCATAAATAAGAACAAATGTTCAAGGCAGCCTAAATTATAGTTTAAAGAAAGTTAAAGCTTCCATCCCTATGTGTTTTCTTCTGAGCTGCACAGTGTTTGAAGTCACTGAATTTGGGCTGCTGTCGTAAGAAATGGCCTTGAGCGATTGTGACTTTGTGGAAACAAGCTAAATAGTCAAGGAAAGGGAAAGATGTGTGCATTTTAATTCAAGCTGCTAAGACTTAAACACATCTAAGTGTCAGTACAATCTTGATAAATCTGTGAAGGTGTTTGCAGGGAAATTCGATATGTAGGATCTTGACCCAGATCAACATTTCTGTTAAACACATTAAAGCCATATGTGAGGCTGTACTTCGAGACAGCAACGCACAATGCTAAGATGCTAACAGGGAAAACTTTAACATACTCTTAGCTATCAGGTATAACTCTACAGGAATCAGAGTTGGGTGTCATCAAAAGAGATCATGGCAGCAAAAGGAGCTTTTTTTCTTAATCAGTCCATTTACAAAAAAAAGACTCCATCTTGATTGATCAAAGTTCTTTAAGATTAAGAGGCTTGGGTTACAGATTTAAGAGTTCAAAACAGTCTAACTGCAGCATCACAGCGCATAATTTAAATTCCTTGAAAGCAGCAGAGAATGATTCAAAACAAACACACACTCGTCTAAAAGCAATTACAAGAGCTTTACCACCAGTTGCCCTCATTCTCTGGGTTTCACAGCTGTCCCCACTCACAGTCCTGATATTACAGAACTGCAGCGTTTCATTACAGAGAACTGCAGTGACTTTCTGCAGAGCTGAGGCACTGAGGCACTGAGGCACTGAGGCACGGACGTGAATGGGTGGAGAAAATGGAACAGGACCAAATTTCAAGATCTGGACGAAGTGTTTCTGCAGCCTAGTGAAACACACCATAAGGATATTAAGGAATGTAATGAATGTACATGTATTGCCTTTACCTTAATCATATCTTAAGGGTCAGCTGTTGAAACTGGATTCCCCAGATTCTCAGGTAGGCTGCACAAGACTAAAAGTTATAACCACAAACCCTCACCTGCCAACCTGTTTCACTCCATTGCTCAGCTTTCATCTTATCAGATTTATTCCCTGTGTAAAGTGTATGACTACACGATTACTTGCCTGTCCAAAAATAGATCTCTCTTTCTCCCTCACCGTCTTTAGCACATTTCTCAGAGAGACTCAGGAGGCTTTGATTCCTATATGGACGTTTGCCAACTGAAGATATTTCTCAGCAGCATCAGACACCTGTCTCTTTAGGCTCTCAAACTGGCAAGAGGAGTGTGTCCATAAGAAGTATATTGAGTTGGGTGCTGAGATTTGCCTGTCTACTGAAGGAATTAGCCAGAAACCCTTGATGACCCTAAAAGAGTCAGAAAATTCCCATAAAAAAGTTGACGCGTGATAAATGCTACAGGACATCCCCTCGGACACACAGTGACAAAGTTTCACGCTGTCTGTCATACAGGCACACAACAATAGTTCCTGTTTACAATGCTTTAAATACACACAGCCAAGCGTCTCTTCCTTCAACTGAGAGATAACACCAGGAGGTCAGTGTCAACCTCTGCAGGGCTCATCCTTGTTTTTACCAGAGGAATACAAATGGATATGCAGAATCTGCCAGAACAATGCAGTTAACATTCAGATCATGGAGGGAAAAAGGGATGATACCTTTGCCTATCAAAACTATTGCAACTAATGCTCTTGTATGACATGGCTAAAAATGCTTGGCCTTGATCAGCAGTAGTCACAAATCACATACAAAATAGGAAAATGGAAATTATAAAACATCAGAAACATAAATATTAAGTAATGCTTTGGCCAGGCTTTTTTTCTCCACATATTCACCATGTCACTGTACCTAAACCAACGTCTTATTCAACCTGCATCCCCATATCAGACCAGTCAAATAGCTTATAAAACTACTTTTTCTTTCACTTAATCACATTTAATAATCCCATCTAACATCACTACCCACATTATCACTGCTAAATACAAGCAGTATTGTCCACAGCATCCCTTAATGAGACTAGCCCACCTAAGGGCCAGCTTCCACTGTGCAGGGAGAACAATGAATGTGCTATGGGCTACTGTATAAGGGTGGTTTCCACCTGAGCTCCATGACTATAACAGATATGTCAAGTAAAGCCTCACTTCTCTACGTTTTACTGCGTAAAAACGCCGGTCGCTGCAGAGAGCCAAACCCAATTTAATTTTCATTCATGCTCCCTCCCCGGTTCACATGCGCCCATGACTCGGTCTACTTTGTCTCCCCTCAGCTCAGTGGGGCGGGTTGAATCAGCTCCATCACATCATATATATATCGCCTTACCTTTGCACTCCTTGTATCCGGTTTATGTATTGATAAGATATCTCTGCATATTGATCTCTCCACGTTCAGCTTTCTCCCCAGCTGCTTTTGCCGGGGAGGGGAGCCGCCGTGCAGCCGCTGTCCATGTTCATCCTCCGGTACTACTGTAGCGCACACACTCGTATTGAGCCACACTCACCACGCCTTCACCCGCCGGCTATTATGTGAACAAGCCCCGCATCCCCTCCCTCCCTCCCTAGCTCCCTCCTTCCCTCCCTCTGCCTCTCATCCAGCAGCTGCCGGCCGGCCTGAATCTCACTGAATCCTCATAATAATGAACCATGAGGGGCTAAAGGCGGCGCCGCATCCCCATATAATATAATACATGTACACAATATATTGTATTGAACAGTTTTATTTGTCTTATGACAGGCCTAAATATTGGCTCCTTGTTTCCTCTGATCAATAGTGACCTTTAAGTGGATTTTGTGGTCTCTGAATTTTCTACAAAGGTTATTTGGGGGCATTGGCCTATGTCTGTCTGTTGCACTCAATATTTAATTTCTGTAATCCTTGTTGAATCATATAACATCAGTTTATTGGTTATGTGGATGCTTATTGGTTGTTCCCATGACAACTTATTAAAAAATATAAGCTTCTGCATAATTAAAATGATTACAATGTCACCATTACACACACAACCCAATAAAATGATGTCAAAGCCAACCATATGACAGGCAAACAAATAGGAAACACAAGATTGGATCAACAAACAACGATAAAGAAGGAATTGCTTTAGATTGCACCCCCCAAATGACAGTGTAATTAATGTAGACAGAGTTTTCATTAAAATACTTATTTGCCACCATAATCTATTGTATGTCCAAGAAAAGAAGAGGAAAGTTTGAGGAAAAAGAAGTAGAAGAGTCGTCTTACTTTAAATTGAACAATTACAGGCAATTATTATTAGCAAGGCAGGGAAAAAGAGGGAAGCGGTGTTGTTATCTTACTTTTTCAAAATGATGTGTTCACAAAATGACTTTGGGAATGTCTTGCAACATTTAGGTTTTATTTTATTTGGTTTATAGGACCTACATTTGTACAATTACTGCAAGTACATACAGAAAATCCACCTCAGTGCTATATTACATTATTTGACCTATCTCTTGAAAATGTATTATGAAGTGTGTATGAAGTTGTGTTTACTTTAGGTAAATATGGCTAAAGGGGATTTCCAAGAATTGAGCTACTGTAACAGGTAATTTGATGTATGTTTGAGCTTTCCTGGATGCACAGTATTTGCATAAAGGATTTTCCTTTCCTTACTATTGACCCGTGTCAACAAACAGGATATAAGTGATAAAAATGTGAGCTGCTAAGGATTTAGCGTGTGAGATAGCGGACAAAACACAGGAAATGGTAACCATTGGTGCTTCAAACATGATTTTATCACAATGTGTATGACGATTAACACCATGGAAGAAAATTACTATTCATAAATGAACATTGAAAATGAGTGACAAATGAAATTATTTGATGCCTTTCCCGACTCAAAGGCAGATTTTCCACATGTTTATGTGCCAAAAAACACAGCCATTTTTAATAAGGCTTTACAGCTTTAACCTCAGTTGCCCTAAATTGAAATATGGGTCAAAGTCAACATTTAGTTTACAGGAGGATGTTAACATGTTGTTCGTTAGCATATTTAATAAAAAAATCTGTTTTAAAAATGATTGTTAACCACATTCTGTGCAGAGGATATAATTCAGAACAAACTAAAATACAAGTTTGGTGGCTGTTATCTTGCTTCCAGGTAAATTATTAAGGAAATATCTCGTTCCACATCATTAAACATCTTTGACTCATGCAATCTAAAAGACACAATACTATAGAAGCAACCCATTGGTGTGTGTTTCACATGTGATATTCATTTCAGCTGAGGAGTGACGGTGCCTCTAAAATATTCATCACTGTCTTTTACTCTTTACTCCGCTGGTAATTGCCTAAAGAAGCAAGCACAGCCGCTCGTTAAAGTCCCTGAAACAACATTTAATTATGTTGTGCAAATACATGTTA